TTTTGCATAAACACTTGACAGATATCAAATTTATACAGGAATTCAGTAAGATTTAGTAAACTAAAGGTACTTTCGGTTTCCATAGGAGTTCTCCATGCCGAATTGATTCCTTCAAGGGCCTACGGAGATTAGAACTTCAACTAAATAACACTGACGTGGAAGAAATTCCATTCTTTATTACTAAACCGAATGAAAAGAATCATGTCTTTTATTCTAAAAACAGGAGCATTCGTAATGTTTTACTTTATGTAAATGCAGTTACATACAGTTGCACTAAGAACTCAGTGCAACTCGATACACAATAGTATATATACAAATAAACTGAAAAATAATGTCTTCCTTACCTTTGAACAACTTGTCTTTATTCAAGGGTTATAACTATCTTTCACCTGTGAGCCTGAGTTATGTCTATGAAATCACAATATTACATCAGTTAAATCTTTCCCCAAAACCAGGGCCACTTGAAACCAATAGCAACATAGCAACATGCGTCATTGAGGGGATATGCAATAAAGTTGCTCGTTGAATGATAGGATATGGGCTATAAATGGATCTCCAAAGGATCGCGTTTATAGTCATTTGGGTGGATATATGTACAGAATGTGGTAAAACTTCTCTGTTGACATCCCGATGTATAACTGGGAGATGTTTATCTCACATGTTAGGGAAAGATACCCCCTGTAACAGTTTTATGCTTTTTTTCTATAAATGTACATTTCCATTTATCATATATGCCTCTTTAATGTGATTGGTCCGTTCAAGGTCGTTTGCTGATTGGTTGTAACTGGTGTCCAAAGTTTAACTTTGCCCCCAAAACAGATGTATAGACTACACTCAGCTCTAAGAAAATACTTAGCCAAACGTGAACGAAACAGGTTCACCAAATTCGGAAACTGTCTTTTCTGCCAAATAATTATCCCAATAACCGATCAACGACTCGTAATATTGTAGAGGGCCATTGGTATTTATGAACAATTATTTCTGAAAGCACTAAAGAAGGTAAGTGAAGTGGGTATCTAGTCAAACAAATGGAAGGGCATAAAACATCCAGTAGATAAAGAAAGCCTCACAAATCATAAAGAAGATGTAGCCTCCAATCGGTTGCTCGTTTTATCACTCTGAATTCCTCAGTTACTCACTGCATCTGAGTGGTGATGGCATGCTGCGTTGCACAGGCCATACGACGGCACTAGCTGACTGTTCTAGTGCACAATCCATTTTCAGTGAGTCCAAGCTCGAAGAGGTTACGAAATTATTTTTAAGTATTCCTGTTAGTTGACACAGTGTTCTCCCTTGAGCTGTGGTGGCAGACTTTTAACTGGTATTCAATCCCACACGTTCTTGAAATCTAGCAAAGTAACTAGCAGCAAAACAGTTATTGGTAACTTCGGTAAACTTCAAAATTATTTGGGACTAAGTATCAGTTTCAAGTCTGTTACTATGGCTTAGGATAAAACACATTTCCAACGAAGAAAAGTGAACATCTCAAACTGAGCTATGTCAATGGTAAATAAGCGTTCTTTTGGCCTTCTTAAAGTGGCGCGGACACCTCATTGTACACAGGGTGTGAAACTACACCTCTTGGGGTGGCTTCAAATTTACAGAGCACCAAAGCAGATAACTATGACGTTTTTCGATAAGTAGGTTTTTCCCGAGAATGCCACCGAATTGACCATTGAAAAACTTCTATCGGTTTTAGGGTTAGAATTACGATTTAGTGTTTTCGCCAACAAGAAACATAGATGCTTCTCGGACGGTTGTCTCAGGCAACATCTTAACATACTGTGCACTTCAAATTTATCATTAAGACATGAGATCCGGAAAACACCAGGTAATTTGGATCAAGTTAAGCAATGAAATGCTTGGCTTCTTGTCTTTTGTCATTACCATGCAAACAATTCACTGGCTAAATTATTTTCCAGCGGTCATTCTGGATCAAACAGCCAGTAATAGGGCACCACATTGTTTATGCACTTATACCACTTATGCACTTATGCTGTCTAAACAGCTCCTTTATTCTTATTTGTGTAAACTGAACTAATTATCAATAATATTTTTCTTCGGAAAGGTCGTAGTTTAGGAGGTAGTCTGGTTTCTGAAATGAGATCTCAGTGTTTAAGGCAAAGATATCGTATGAAGACGTACACTGAAATAAAACCAAGATCTACTTTCATATGAGGCAGTCATGCACATGAAATTCTGGAATACCAGTTGGTTAGGCTGCTTGAAAGACTTCGAGCTCGTTTCCAGTCGGCTCAAACTAGAAGTAATACTCACGATTATTACGTGGCCGTCGGGCCTGCTTTAACTGAGATGTGAACACATTGGCTGCTGACTATTTAGCCTGGTCCACCTAACCTGGTGGCTCGACTGCCCTTAGCACCATCCAAACTAGAGCAGGGAGAATGTCAGTCCGGCAAATGTTCTGGGATGTAATTATTGACGTTTGCATGGACGTAGTAGAGATATATATGACTACACCACAACTCACAGTCACACTCTTGTTCCTTGAAAACCCAGTTGCCCACTATCTGGTCCAGTCAGCACAGATAAACAAATTGACCGTTGAAGGCTAAATGGCTGAGATTCAGTCCTTTGGTCTTCTACACTGTAACATATATTCAAGATTGCAAGCCAGCATAGCGGAATAAGATAAACAGCCATTTAACCACCTACAAAAATCAGCCAAAAATGTTTAACTCTAGGTCTCAGTCTTCGACTGTTAGTAATTGTACATTCTGTAATCACTCACATTACGAATTTATGGTTTAAGGAGGCCTAAGCTGTTAATGGGGCTTAAATGGATTTCGAATTATTTTATTATCACTTCTTGAAGTAACTTCAACTAATCATATGGGTGAACATCGTACCGTGTTATATGTGGTGCAGAGCTCGTGTCATAATAAACTAGCTGTCTGCTCACAAACCTCTAGTCGTGGCCTGTTCCCAAGAATCACCTTACATTTTGAGTAAGAGTAATTGACTTGAAAGAGTGAATAAAAGACATTTCATGCACATTGACAGTTATAGTTTCCTGTAGAACAGCCAAATTCTACTCTCTCTGAAAGAGATATAAATATACAAGCAAACATTTAGATGAAATCTGGACATATGCATACAAAATTTAGTGAATAAAAGGGTTATCTCATCGGAATCTCAGTGAAATGGGCAGATTAACCAACGATATTGATTACATTTCTTTTATTATGTGGCGTAAACAAATCTTCTTTAGACTGATGATATTTTAGAGGCTAAAAGTATTGACGTTCACGTATACTACGAAGTATACTAACGCAAGACATAATACCCACAACTTCTATGGTATTCGTTCTGCGTAGACCGAAGGTAAAACAAGATACCAGATTTGCCCGTCCGAGTTACGAGTTATATTTCGGGACAAAATCGGAGTGCGAGATGATTACTCAACTAGCTAGGGATCGTGCAAGAACGAACAAACGTGACACGACGGCGTACCAAAGGGCGTCGATGCTTGACCGGAAGTCTTCAGCTGAATAAGTTCACTTAAACAGTGAGGGTCAGCATCCAATGTTCAGGGGTGAATTCTGTGGCTCATAATTCTGGGAAATTACAATATGAAGCTATGAAAGTATTTGAACGAAAGTATTAATCGACGTGCTTTACGAAAATTTTTGGTCCTAATGGTTGGATGGTAAAAACTTCGTCCCTTATAATTAAAGTAAGGGTGATTAACTATAAGTAAACGCACAATTACTAAATAACCAACTTTTATCTACACACACCTTTAGTATAGGGATTCACGAAGAATTATAAACCTGAAAAAATCAGAAAACAGCAAAGCAGTGACTGTGAATGGTGTCACTGTATTACGGGCTATAAATATGTCCATTGCGGTCCTTAAAGTTGATGCATTTCACACACTGTAACCAAATTAAACCATACCATGCGGAATTGCAGGTGTTGTAATTATTTGTAATCGTAGTATCAGTATTTCGAGATGACCGAATTACAAGAATTCAACCAAAACACAGAGAGGGCGGAATTCAGGAATTTATATATAGCGGAATTATAATTCAATTCATATAAGAAATATATTAACAGTCAACAGTAAGTATTTACACAATATAGAGATAGAAATAGTCAGTCACCACATGCAGGGTAGTTGTGGTGCCATCAGCTAAGCCACAATATACCAGTATTTACTGAAAGCAAATTGGCCTGTTACCCAATAAGTCAGTTCTCTACCCATCTGGTAACTAAATACGACAAAAGTATATTGAAAGGACTGAGCAGTATAACTGAATAAAATAAAAGTCAGGATTATTCAGTGAAAAAAGATTCAGAACTTACCCATCTAGTATGGCTGAAATATAAACTCAGAAAATTTGCGTTGATTGCTTAAGGGGAGAACGCAGAACAGCTTATGGGCCAGCATGTTTGTGTGTGTTGGTGGCACAGTGGTTAGGACTGTCGCCGACCATGCACGTGGTCCGGCGTTCGAGCCCACGCCGACGCACACCTGATATCTATGGTCGGCCTGCGAATTTCGGGCTACCGATATCCACGCTGAAAATTCCATACTTGTACCAAAAATACGGCGTGGAATCAAGCTGTAATCAAAAAAATTTAAAAAATACATGTTAAAACAAAAGCTTATAACATTGTATGGTGCACTAGAGAATGTAGGACCTAGGCAGAAACCTCATGCTTCAAATATGAAGCAAGGAAGTCTAAGCTGGTTCGAAAGTTCATGAATATGCTAGTCGTGGTATCCCCAAACATTTCATATGAGGATAAATTGTTCAGCTAAGTTTATTTCCACTGTCATTGAGGTGGCTTAGAGAAGACCTGACGTAATCTTACGAAATGATCTAGGTTGATTTATTCGAAGATTGGAATTTTGTTTAACAACAGATCTATGAAGTTAGCGCGGACCAAGACCCCACTTCGCTGAAAGTAAGCGTAAATCTCAGACTGAACACGACCTTGAAATAAAACAAACTGTGACCTTGCCGGAGAATATGACTGAGTCAAAACCCAAATTATGCTTTTCATTCAGTCAGCGTAAAAAGCAGCCAATTTTGAACCCTGCACTTAAAAGTACTGATGAAAAAAACGAATCAAAAGCATGTAAAAAGGAGTTTATCACTTCCATTGAAGACAATATAATGCATGTATATATCTCTTTTTAATCTGTCAATTTAGTTGCTCTACTACTCCAAAAGAAGAGGACATTGTCATACCCTTAAAACGTAGTAAAAATAACTTTAGGGATCGAGTGCAGAAAAAGTTTGTCACAGCTGATCCATCTGATGCTCTCACATTGCAAGCATTGAGGGAATTAAGAGAGGGTAAACTTGTTTTCTAATGTAAAATACTTAGAAAGCGAAGCATTTAAAAGCAAAAATCAAGATGGTCGTGTAGACTACGACATCAAAATACCTATAGGCAGTCCAGAAGCTACTGAAGAGGTATTTCTTTTTTAAATTTTGTAAGTTAATCTTTCCATCATATACATAGGCAGATGAGGCGGACTATGACTCCGTTCCTATAGAAAAGTTCGGTGTGGCACTGCTTGCAGGTATGGGTTTCGATCCAAAATCACTCGATAGTTCTAAAAAGTAATTCATTACGACATATGTTAACGTATGTTTATCTTCAGAGATGTCTTGTTACCACAACGACCAAAAGGTCTCGGACTCGGTGCAGACCCAACTGCAGTTCAGAATGCAAAACAAGATGTACTGACATCAAAAACAGAAGAGCTGACCTGGACACCGGGTGCACGTTGCCAGATTATATTCGGGAAGAACAAAGGGCTGTACGGCACAGTTAGTAAATTAGTTTTCCATGATTTCAAAGCATTTAGCACACTTGATTAAATTTTTAGAGTGCAAATTTTGCTCTTGTGTAGCTTATTTGCGCCATTGTTGTAGTGAATCAATCCTACTTCATGGAGTTTTTCCAAAGATCCGTTTCCTGATTTTTAGAGTACAATTTATAAGTTGAACAATTTCAGTCGATTTTTTGAAATCGTATTCCTTGAGTATCTCAAGTTCTTCGGAATCAGATGAGTCTGTTTTACTCCATGACGCGTTTCCAAAAGATGTTACAGTGAATTCTGTAGTCAAGTAATAAAAATACACACCCTAACTGCCAAAGTCGAAAAGGGTTTACCAAATAATTATTCTAAATAACTATGGAGGATTTCGACTTCACCAGTCGGAATCAAAGACCATAATATATGTCAAAACAGATTTAAAATTCTAGTGAATCATGGGTTTGGAATCCTCTGTTTAGTGACGTTTGAGAGCCATAGTAGTATCATGGAACATTATCGTATATGTCTTTATTAGGCATACAGGACTTTATTCTCATTAATCTATTTATTTGTTCTTCAAACCAATCTTTAAAGCCACCAATTGATAGGGTTTGGGGTAAAATAATGTCTTAGTTTTGTTTATCATCCATTCTCGAAAGCTGGGTAATTTTTTGACCCCATATTTATCAGTACTGCTTCTAGTTATGCCTCTGTTGTTCTTTGTGATGCCTTCTGAATCTAAAATTTCTGTATTGTCAAGTGATATGGAAGATTAAACCGTCGCATTTTGACACGTTTTTTCATTTTTGTGTATGCCTTTGCTCGGCGATAATGCTTACTGAAGCGTGTATTCAGAAAAGGAGGCATATCAACTGATGATATAGACAGCCTGAAATGCTTCATATATTTTTAGATTACACTATTAGGGTATGAACGAAGAGTAACTAAACTGTTGGGAAAGATTGAAGCAGTCACAAAACTCACCTAGAAGTCGTAGTCATATCTTATACAAGAGATTGTTTCCTTGATATTTGGAACAAATTTACATTAGTTGTATGGGACCTAATCATACGTAAAGATCACAAACAAACACTGTTGTATCAGTTTAAATAGTTTGGCTGTATTTAGGTTGTAATCTGCAAGAGCATTGAGAGGAAAATGGTCTCTACCCTCTATTTTATGTATCTAGAGTGTTAATCGGCAAGTTACTGCTCCAATAAACTTATTCATTAGGCTTCATAAATGAGGTCACGTCCTCTTTTAAGTCAACCCTGTAACTATGTTTCTATCAAAACACTGTGAGTGCGGGAGATGGTGTTTAGTAATTTTAGCATAACACCTTTCATTGCATAAATTCTCCTTCTGAAAAATGATACTTTTCTACTTATGGATGTGTAGCTTGAAGGTGTAGATGGAGATACTGGCAGAGTAGTTGTGAGGCTAAAGATTTCAAAGGAAGTAATCGATGTACTTCAACATACTGTCCGCTTGGTCTCAAGTAAAGAATACGCTGTATATTCAAACTGTATAAGTAAGCATATACATGTTGCCTATCTGTTTCCGCCTATTTTATGTATAATTGTCAAATTTGGTTCCACGTTTACCTGTATAATATATACTTTCAGGAGAGTAGTAAACATACGTTGTTGCTCTTTAATTCTACACTGAATATTATAATGAAACGTCATTTTATATCATAAAGTTTGCATTAATTGTAGTCATCATTTGTCACTCTATACGTTAATCGTTCCAAAGTCCCACCATCATACACATCTTTAAACTTGTAAGACACCACATGGAGATTTTTACTAACATTAAATTTATTCTAAAATAATAGTTCAGTTAAAAGCTTCTGTAATTTCGCTTAAAATAAGTGCGTACATAATAGGATATTTGGTGTGAAAAGGAAATGTTTCAAAGGGAATTATATTATTCCCTTGGATCCAAAGGGAACAGAAAATCCCTACAATGATATTGATGTTGATGAGAACGAATTGTTGTGGTTAAAGTTCGAAAATGTATTGTATTCAGCCAGATTATGAATATATCAAAGTAAAAGTGAGGTTTATTTTATGAAAATAGAGAATATGTGTGGATGTGTGTGTAAACGATTGTGCATATGTGTGTAGATAAAAGGAGATATACACAGATAACAAGAGGGATAAGACGGAATTCACGTCCTGGATACTCTTTGTACAAGAGGTGACTGTCATAGCTAAGTCGCCTAATGGGTAATGCTTTAAAGTTCCAGTAGGAAAACCCACTAATGACTAAGGATGCAGGTGCGTCCAGACGACGAGTCTCAAATGGGACAAAACACTCATACTGGGTTTTACTGCTAATCATCACCGAACAAGTGACTAAGAGGAGCTGTCGTAAATATATATGAACCCAAAATTATATAATACTATCAATTATGATTTAAGATAATTTAAGATAGGATGATATTTACACTTATTGTGGAAATTTAAAGTTCAAAGGTTTCATATCTGTTGTGCTTGAGGAATTTTGACTTAAAAACAATCCAGAAATAGTAGCAAAGATTGTGACTGTTTCACACTGAGTGATCTGTTTGATACCATGAATGGTAGTAATCAAAACAACAAGCATGATTACATAAATTTCACCTCGAACGGTGTAAATTGCAATTCGGGAATCTGATTTGTGAAATTACCACTCATGAACACTGAAGATTAAATTCCTAGAACGACAACTAGAATAAATAGCCCTGCAGGAACAATCGATATGATAAATACAACAAAGAATGGCTAGTTTCGGTGTAATTCATCCCTCAACTTTGGCGTTACTGGTAGATGTGGTAAAACAAAACTTAATTTGTCATTTTCTTGTATCGAGCGTTATTTGGATAGACCTGCATAACCCTCGAAAAACTATCCTACTAAATATATGATAGTCTCTGCTTATTTTCTTGTCCTTCCAAATGAAACTATATAATGTCAATTTTAAGTAAAGAAATATTAGTATTATTTTTTTTCTATAATGTTATGTAATAAGATGATTCTTCACTACATACTGTATATAACTTTTCTAATACTTGATTTCAGATCAAAGTGAAGTTGATGAATATAAAGCACGTGAAGCTGAACAGCTTTCAAAAAAGTTAGATCGTGATGTAGATTTTAATTCATCAAAAGTACAGTCGAACGGAAAGCATCACCAGTCACATCATGATTCACGTTCTAGAACATTCAAGAATATGGATGAAGATAAACCATTAAAGTAATGTTTATACATACAGTAGTTTTAAATTGTGATTAATGTTATTAAATTCTGTGGTTCCTAAGTATTGTTTCATAAACAAAAAATAAGTGATTAAAATGTAGGTTCAATGTATAATAGCTGTTTAACTTTAATTAAGGATGTGTGAAAGCCAGTATTGGGAAGACAAAACAGGTATTTAATTGGTCCACCGTTTCGGAAGAATTTGTGGCATTGATTACTTAGAAGAAGAGCTCTTATCTCGCGAAATTGTTACACTGCACGTTTCCTGGAGAAAAACATGAGACTAAAGCTAAAAAGAGAAAAATGCACTTCAGTACCAAATAAAAATATTATTTATGAACCTGGACTTCAAGGGAGACTTAGTAACAGATATCCTAAACAGGGAAGTCTCTAGCTCCATACAGAAGACCTTTCCTGTGACAATTTTAAGAGTGATATGCTCTAGTCACCCACTGCTTCCAGGCAGTGTGAAGGACAAACGTCCGCATATGACCACTTCAATGTGTATATTATCAATCCACCTGCTCCTGTGGAGCTAGGTACATAGGTTCTTTTAAAACGTGTTAGAGAACACTACCTAGCATAGCTGCGAAGAGGAAGCACTGGTTCAATGAGAAGTGCCATAAGTGCGCACCTCATCGACACCTGTCACAATATCCCAACTGACTCATCATTCAGAGTCATTTACAAGGTAAACAGAAATCTACCAAAGGCAGTGTGTTTCCGACTTCTTTTTACTGCAGAAACCCTCTCCATATGCACCGAAAAGCCGGAGCTGTGTGTTCTAAAGAAACTAGTGTAACCTTAACATCATTTACTATGGATCTAGTTCTGTTTGACTCCTTAGTTTTCGCTTTCTGTCTTTTTTCAACCCCTTCATTATAATTTTTTTAAATTTTCAGTTATAAAGACTACTATCTTAATTTGTCTCCATGTCCACACCTGTCTTCGTTAACAAAAACTATTTTACAATTATTTTCTAATCCTGTGTAATTAAATTATCACCCTTAATCTCCTTCGTTATTATGTAGGATTAAGTAATAATTTTATCTGTATAAACTAATATTATATCAATGTGATTGTACAACTGCTTTAGAAGATAAAGTCGCTGAAAAGATATCTTCTCTGAGCTTCTTGTTCTGTTCCCTTCAATGTCCTACTGATGAGTATTTTCCACGATTAAAAAATAATCTACCGTGGTGGTTATCTTCTCTAAACTGAGCAATTCATATTCACTGTTGTTTTGAGCCATTTACCGAGGTATGTAGACTAACTGACTGGTGTCCTCGAGGCACTAAGAACCTAGTAGCTAGAGAATGTTGGTTACGTAGCTCGGAATTTTTCTTAATGGTGCACGTATTATGAGTTCCTAAATCCATTAAATTCTCATTACTATCCATATAATAATCTTTTTCCCCTCGTGTATTTCCGTTTTATTATAGTTTCCTTGCATTTCTCTTATTTTTCTTTACCGTTGTTTTGTGGGTTATATAAAGTGTGATAATTTGAACAGAAGAACTGTTTTGCAAAGTTCTAGGTTGATGACTTTTATTTATCCCAACTTCCATCTGTTCCTCATCAAAGCCTATTATTAATAATTGTGTAACTGTAGTTTTGTCACTCATATTCTCTATAAATTATATTTTACAACCTCTTGAAGTTATGATTTCCATAGTTGTATTGTTTTGCTGTACTGTAGTTTAATGTAGGGAACTTTTTTAATGTGGTTGTGTTCTCTGAGCTGGATAGTTAATTCGCCAAGATGTCGCCTAGTAGAGCGATAAAATCTTCGCAAGTTAACTCTCCAGCTCAGAGAATACAACCACATCAAAATCATCCACCTGAGCTAGAAATCTTCTGTATCATATCTAAATGTAGGGAACTAGATTATATCAAGGTAAGCCTTATTTTTTAATACAGCCTCAGATAACCTTAATTCCCAGGTATGGTAAGATAGTCTTTGTGGTAGTAGGTCTGACCGGTTCATATATGCTTTGTCGATTTAAACAATTGAACAAGAAGATTGATATCGTCAGGGTGGACTAATATTCTTTTTATTACAACAGGTAAACTTTATGTCTGTCTGTCTGTCTGTCTGTTTTCGACATAGAACTTTGCACAAATGTGCGCCAGTTCAAGTCGCCACACTCCGTGTAGCACGCGAAGCAAGAGAAGAAAGTACAAGAAACTTTATGTACTCAGCACTTATTGAAGATTATAGTTAGTTACATTTGTGTTTCTGTCACAGCACTAAATAAAGTACTCTATTTTATTTAGTGTTTTCATTCAACAAGAAATTTATCTTGTTTATATAATTTGTCTTAGCTGTAATGAAGTATTCTTGACCCGTTCTTTATCTAGCCTGCTGATGGCTGGATTTTCAATCATTTTTAGCCTACATAAGAATAAAAGGTTTTACCAAACCAAAACCTGGCTTCATTCCATGCAGTTTTTGAGTGTTGATTTGAGCTAGCCACGTAGGGAGGTGTAAACTTTCTCGTTGAGTTTGCCGAAATGCTAAGAACCAATGACTTAAGACTGAATGTGATGCGGCCCAATATCGTTCTCAGTGGCACGGACTCATTCACTCATTCCTAATGTTTTCTCATCTTACTATCCTTTCTCCCACACATTTCTACTCATTGTAGTTCTTCGGTATCTGTTTTGTCTCTCCTTTCTCTGCATTTGTGTGCTATATGGAGTGCAGCAATTTGAGTTACTGTGCAGGGGTTTATATTGAAACTCAGTTATTCAAAAAGTCTTACTTTGGCAGTACGCAGCTTTCAGTCTGCACTTCTACATATTCAACACAGAGAAAGTTGTGATTCCATAGGAATATTACCCAAAGAGTTTGACTGTCCAAATTACGAATAGGTGTAATGTGTTTCTCTCTTTCTTAGTATTGACAGGAATCAGAAATTCCTGTATAGCACGAATTTTTTTGAAGGTACTTTAATATCTTAGTAGGTTGTGATTGTTTTTTGTCAAGTAGTGAGATGATAAAAAAACCTAACACTGCCACTACTAACATTGAAGTGTCTCTAAATACGTTTATTCATCAAATTTATGGTCAATGCATTTGTTAATGCATTTTTTCCTCCGAAGTATAAACTGGGTGCTAGCAGAACATCTGGTGAGCTCAGGGCATTCGCTGTCATTTGAAAAATCCTTCAAAATCCTATACAAAATCCGATCAAATCTCCCAAAATGAGCCAGATCAAGGCATTTGGGCACAGCTCGGACACTAGAGATCCAAAAGTTCAAACCCACACTGTGTATTCAAAAGAGATACCTGCAACCTCTCTCTTTACTACTGCCATGATAAACAGTCATTTCTCTCAATAATGATTATCCCATTACGTTTCTTATTGAGTCTTTGCGCTTATTTTGTTATTATTACATTTTAATTCCTGTTTGTAACGTTGTCGATTTGACCCTCGACCGGAAACAGTTGTGAAACTTTCTGACCCATTTATTACAATATACACATGAATGTACAACCTAGCTGATGACTTCGTCGAAAATAAAATTTCTCTTCTCTACAACCGCCTTCGAATTGAGGACGGTAGTGAAGCAAGGCTGTCTACTATCGCCAATGATCTTCCTGATTGCAATGGATTGGATAATGCGACAGACAACGAGCAATGAGGAAACAGGCATAAAATGGACTCACACAAAAAACTTGGAGGATCTGGATTTCGCCGATGATATATAACTGAATTCTCACAAACCAGAAGATATGCAAGTGAAAAGCAACAAGCTGGCAGAACAAGCATCCAGAGAAGATAGACATTCGGGTGAACATAGATAAAACAGAGGTGATGAAGATTCCTGGCCAACAACAACAAACAACCTCATTTACCTACCTGGGAAGCATAATTTCAATTACAGGGGAACAGATGAGGATATCAAAGCAAGAGTCGGAAAAGCAAGACAAGCTTTCATTACTCTCAAGTCTGTGTGGAGGTCAACAGCACTCAGCATCGAAAATAAGATCCAGATTTTCAACTCCAATCTGAAGTCAGTGCTACTATACGGATCAGAGACTTGGCGCGTCATAAAGAGCATCTCAAACAAACTTCAGACCTTCATTAACAGTTGCCTTCGCCCAACACCACTCAAGATCAGATGTCCGGCCAGAAAAGATCAGCAACAGGGATCTCTGGCAATGAGCGAACCAACCCAGAAACCGATTGTGAAACAAATAGGCAGGAAGAAATGGAGATGGATTGCCCATACTCTGAGGAAACCATCAAGTGACATCACTAGACAAGCCATCGCTCGAGTGGATCCCGAAAGGGAGGTGGCGAGTTGGTTGTCAGTGCAAGGGTGACTTGGAGGAGGTGATGTGAAGAGGAGATGAAAGCATGTAGGCAGACTTGGAGCGGGGTGAAAAAGTTGGCAGAAAACCAAAGGCAATGGAGACGCGCAGCTGAAGCCCTATGTTCCTCTAGGAATTAAAGGATATAATAATAATAATAGTACTACCGTCTTTTTAATTCTTCCTATGATCTGACGTATACATTCCGTAATATGAGAAAGATAATTACACGTATATACTTATGCCTGTATATGCATACGCTTACTTCCCACTTTGTAGATGTGAACCAAGGAAACCACCCGGTAGCACAGATTGGCTAAGACCGAAGCTAATTGTTCGATGCTTAGATCGAAACTATTGCAGCGGTAAATATAATGGGGAAAAGGTATGTCCATTGTGTGATTGTATATTTGTCCCCCCCCTCTTTCTATATAACAGGTAACTGTTGTCACTGTGAATTCTAATCGATGCAGCTGTAAAACTGAATCTGGTCAAATCATTGAAGGTAAGTTAAACGTTGTTTCCTTCTTCCACAATATAATCCCTATACTATTTATAGGTCTGTCAACAAAATATTTACAGACCTTTATACCATATGAAATGAATTCAGTTCTAATGATTGTTAACGGTGAGAGAAGTGGTCAGGTAGGTACCTATTTTTTTGCATTCTTCTCTTTATTCTTGTATCAATAGTTGTTGATTTATTGTTGCGAAGACTTGGTGATTATTGCTTAGAGTTGACTACAGTAGTTTTGTCCTAACTCGGGGTTCCTCAGATGTATATGTATCGATGGCCTCACCAGGGATCGGATCCAGCACCTTCAGATTAAGAGGTGAGCTCGTCGAGCACTCAACCATTTGGACGGAGTCCAATTTACGATTTATAGCGCGACTGTCAGCCAATGTTATCGGCGAATACTTGTCCTCACACCCGACCAGATGTTGTAGGCGCCCGGTTTGCAACCAGTGGGCTACAAGTTCGAATTCAACCATGCCTATGGAGGTTTGAGCACCCAGATAGTATCATTAGCCCTTCCAACAATGGATGTAGCTCACTGTGTCAGGTACATGGAAATCCAATTGGTTGTTGGCTTTCTTTACAAGACATTTGCCTTCCCTCCTATTGTTATTCTGTGACAGATAACTTCAATCTAAATAAAAAGAAAGTCATATTTCTAACATACTTTTCCTCTCGGAGAAGATCCAAATCAACGGACTTCGAATTAACCACCCAGTCTGTCTGTCTGACTGTTTTCCACATAAAACTTTGCACATATGTGCGGCACTTCAAGTCGCCACACTCCCTCCTTGTAGCACACAAAGCAAGAGAAGAAAGTAGAAGAAATGCATAATAGAGACAGTTAACAGAGGTGTGAGACAAAGGAATAGTAATAACGAAGAACAGTATAGTTTCATTGGAAATCACTAGTCACAAGGAGTGGATGCATCTGCGCCATTGAGAACGATTTTGAGCCATGTCACCAATTGTTTCCAGCCTTCATTGGTTTTTACCGTCCCGAGGACCCCAACCAGGAAGACTACACCTTCCTACGTGGCTTAGACTAACTGTTGTAGATTTCATTGACTGGTGCCACTTCACTTCCTATTTCTAATCTAGGAGTCGTTGTAGTCCAGTCCTGTAACATCATCTTGCATTTGGCGGGAGCGAATCACATGCCAAACATTCTTAGATTGCAGCTCAAGGTGTTCAGAAGACTGCATTTTGTCAGCGTCCTCGCCTCGAAGGACTATATGGTATGCATATTCTAAGTCAACGAGATTATTCCCTGGTAGCAAGTCAATCCCTGAGTCACTGAAGTGAGTTAGGGTTAAGTTCATTAGTACATCTATGATGAAGTTGAATAGAAATGGGGATAATGGGCATCCTTGACGGACATCACTAGTCGTCACCAGTTCAGATGACTACTCGCCGTAAGCCCTCACTTGGCTGCATGCGTACGAGTAGATTGCCTTAATCAGTGCAATGTATTTTCTCGGCATTCCCTTTACAGCCAAGCATCGCCAGAGAACCTCTCGGTCGACAGAATCGAATGCCGCCTTTAACCACCCAGTGCTCTTCTAGATGAGCTACCGACTAACTAGATCAGATCTTCAGTGCAATAAATCTCAAGTCCTCTAACAATCAGTAGTAGTGTCTGTGGTAAACCACGCTTCCTCTTTAATTTCAATTATTCCCCCATTAAATTCGGCATTTGAATCTTAGTTCATTCACATCAGCCTGAAAGACTGAGTAATATCTCACTAGTTCTCACATAATCAGTGTGTCTCATAGCCCTTAATATGGGAAGAGTCGTATGACTTTAATATCTTTTCAAGTACACTTATACACCTTTACGCTTTATCTTTTTTTCTTCTTGCTATAGCTTGCACGTTTAATCAAGCGGGACAGTCAAAATCAAATGGTAGATGTCAAAACTCGTGCTGGAATCCTTCTACGTTATCACTTCGATAGTATATGTGCAATTAATGATCCATTCGATAACTAGAATACATAATATAATGCATAAATCTCAGGAATCTCTGTACATATATCTACTTTCTTTTAATATTTTAAATTAAACGAAGAAAAACAATGAATACATTATTTTTTACTTAAAGAATGAAAGTTCGTTTTTTTCAGCGTAGTTGTATTTTCTTTTGTTTTATTATCTATCAGAACACAAACTTGTAACATTACGGGTACCAAGAGATGCGCCATACGAAATCTCATAGTTTGTACGAGGGCTAAGATATTACCCAGACACACCAAGAACGAAGAATTCAGTTGTCGTAGGGGGCCACTCCTCCCCCCTAGCCTTTGACTTGAAGTTTGATCCACAGGGCAATGGAGCAGCGTCCAGAAATACTTTCCTATGCTTTCCGGCTACCAAACCAAGTTCATATGGCATTTAATCCTTTCGAATCCTGCAGCTGATGTATACTATTGGTTTGGAATCAAGGTTGTTCGACCCCCCGGGTAGACCTGCATGTCCACCAGTCTGGTTGTAGGTGACAGACGTCCGCATTCACCCACTCACTTTTGTGAAGAACAACCCTATCGTTTGGCCGCATGAGAGCATTTCGACAGGAAGACTGAAGTGTATCCACCCTCGACCATATTAGGTCGTTCGTGAGTGCTAGACTAGGGAGCACTAGACGGCTTTTTCGTCTTTGCTTGGGGCTCTTCAACAGCACTTGCACATAACTCTAGCGTGGATCGAACCCAAAACCTTCAGGTTACAAGGCGAGTCGATAAGCCATTCAGCCACTCGGACCTTTATAGTCTTGTTTCACTTCTTCAAAGTAAAAGGAAGTATATCCAAAGTTTGATAATAGGCAGTGTTCTACCAATCAGGAGTAGCTAATAAAAGCCGTTAGCAATGTATAATTCATTCCTCCAGTTACACTAGAGAACACATTCCATGTACATAAAACAGTGGTTGATATTTATATTATAAAATGATTTAAACAGTCCTTTTCAAATCAAACATTAAGTAGACAAATATTGTGAGATGATATCATTTTGTAGTTTCTCTACAACGGCTTTACAACTAGCATGGTTGACAATAGTGGAATGTTTTTTTTTACTAATCAGTCATATAAAATAAAAGTGTATATTACTGACCAATTATATTTTTGACAGATCAAGTAGTTCAGGTTAGGGGAAGGTTGAAGTCTATTGCTTTCAGTTTAGGATGCATTTGATCAATTCAAAGTGCTTCTACCAGCTTTGATAACTTGGATTAAAGTCATGAAATAATTGAGAAACAGACATCAATACTGATTTTGTGACTGGATATTAGTATATGCTCTTCAATGGATGCTGATAGACTTCTGTTTGGATTAAGGACATATAGATTTTCTGTGTGAGTTAATAACCACTTGGAAACGTTCTTTTCGACCATATTGGAACATTCTGTTGGATTTACCTATAAATGTGTCGCCACTACTGTAAGTGAACTTTGAGATACCGTGTGAAGTATTATTATTCCCTTGGGTTCCGAGTGAAACATAAGGCTTCAACAGCACATCTCCATTTCATCATGTTCTCTCTACAGCTGACCCATAAGCCTCCATCTCCTTGTCACACGATCTGCTTCATACTACCCGAGGACACCCAGCCTATCGTTCCTCATTCTGATTCCACTCGTAGGTCTGGCTCATGATGTCACCTGACGGTCTCCTCAGCGTATGTCTGATTTATATCTGTTGAACAATAGGTTCCTGAATGGTTCTTCCCCATGGTTTCTTGTTGCTAATTCTTTCCGATCATCATTGAACAAAGCTTGGAATGGCAGTCACCTCTCTATCTCAACTTCATCGACTTTGAAAAGGCCTTCGATAGCGTCGATCGAGAGGTCATTTGGCAACTACTTCGCTACTACGGGGTCCCATCGACAATTATACACCTCATCCAACAGTTATACGACAATGCTGCATGCCAAGTAATCCACAACGGGAAACTTACGGAAGCCTTCGAAGTGAGGACGGGAGTGAGGCAAGGCTGTCTACTATCACCAATGATCTTCCTGATTGCAATTGATTGGATAATGCGACAGACAACGGCAACCAACGAGGGAACAGGCATAAAATGGACTGACACAAAAGACTTGGAGGATCTGGATTTCGCCGATGATATATGTCTGATCTCCCATAAACTGGAAGATATGCAAGTGAAAAGTAACAAGTTGGCAGAAGAAGCATCAAAGATAGGACTTCACGTGAACATAGATAAAACAGAGATAATGAAGATTCCTAGCCAACATCAACAACACCAACAGACCACAATAAGCATAAATGGGAAGAACCTGAAAGAAACAACCTCCTTCACCTACCTGGGAAGCATCGTCTCAACTACAGGCGGAACTGACGAGGACATCAAAGCCAGAATCGAAAAAGCAAGACAAGCTTTCATTACTCTCAAATCTGTGTGGAGGTCAACAGCAATCAGCATCAAAAATAAGATCCGGATTTTCAACTCCAATGTGAAGTCAGTGCTACTATACGGATCAGAGACTTGGCGAGTCATAAAGAGCATCTCAAACAAACTTCAAACCTTCATTAACAACTGTCTCCGCTCAATACTCAAGATCAGATGGCCAGAAAAGATCAGCAACAGGGATCTCTGGGAGCGAACCAATCAGGAACCGATTGTGAAAGAAATAGGCAGGAAGAAATGGAGATGGATTGGCCATACGCTGAGGAAACCATCAAGTGACATCACTAGACAAGCCCTCGAGTGGAACCCGAAAGGGAGGCGGCGAGTTGGTCGTCAGTGCAAGGGTGACTTGGAGGAGGTCATGCGAGGAGGAGATGAAAGCATGTGGACAGACCTGGAGCAGGGTGAAAAAGTTGTCAGAAAACCGAAGTCAATGGAGGTGCGCAGCTGAAGCCCTATGTTCCTCTAGGAACTAAAGGATACAATAATAATAATAATTCTTTCCGACTGGCCGTGTGATTTTCAGTTTGGAGCCGGCAAAGTCAGTTATTGATAAAGGTTTGTAGCCTGTTAGAAGTATTATTATTCATTATTGTTTCCTTTAGTTCTTAGAGGAAAATAGGGCCAGTGACTTTGATAGTTTCCTGATGCAGGATATTGGTGAAGAAATATTCTATGTAAATTGATAACATGACCTCTTCCTTAACGTTGAGAATGCTAACTAGTTCGAATGAACTTTTAACGGAGTGTTTTTTTATGAGGAATCTCTTAAAGTTGTAAGCATCTCCATAACCTATTTGGCAATTTTATGTTATAAAGAGTTTGACTACTTAATCTATTAAAGTACGATTAGTTATTAATATACATTTTTATGTTATATAAATGGTTAATTGTCGGTTGTACTAGATGTAACGAAATTGTTCAGAAACTACGAAATAATGTCATCTCATAATATTTGTCTTCTTAAATACTAGAATAAATTTAAGTGTAATCTCGCATCATCGGTACGGGAAGAGATATTCTATAAAATGGGTGTTCAAAATCCATTAACTCATGTATCGTTCACTTCTCATGGGTTGCATTTCATAGTTATATCAAACGAAACCAAGATGCCGAAGTACATGAGATAGTCATTAGGTATGTGGTGAGAGCAGGCTGCTAGCCAATTGGTAGACATTAATCGACGCTGATTGGTAGACATTAATCTAGGCTGATTCAACAACCAATCACAGCAGACTTAAACGTGAGCAAATATGATTCGCAGATAAATGGCTCTACTTTCCGAGAAATATCGAAAACAACCAATCAGGAGACTGTGTTTGTCTGCTTAACTCCCGAGAAACAACCAATCAGAAGGCTGCCTTTTTCTGCTTGCATTATATATGTATTTATATATATATATATATATAAATACGCGTTGATTTTCGTAATAAAACGATCTGTTGCCTGGCCCTTGTCTTCTGTTGTTACAGGTATATGGCGTGTGTTACTGACAAAATTTTGTAAGTAGTGTATGTATATGTATCGTCTGCAAAAATATTGAATAGATGAGGGATGGATTTAATGGAGAAGATGAAAAATGAACGATCTTGTGAAGCCACATAAAATAGAAAAAATGAAAGGATGGTGAGAGAAAAAGTACAATACGGAACATATGTGCTAATGGTGATTTTACAATATATATATATGTACATCAATTCGTCAATAAACAATTCCACTGCCAAATATCATTGTGTTCTCCTGTTACAGTTATATAAATATATCAGCTGCATTTTATATGGCATCAATTTGACAAAAGTCAAATGAGCTTTTAATATAGCAGCTATAAACTGAAGTAGGTGAAGTGGTCAGTATAATTAACCGCCTTATTTAGAGGATATCGATGTAGACCAATTCTGATGAGAATGGTTGGTTATAAATTTTCAACTGTCTGACGCGATAGTGTCAGAAGGATATGTTGTCGTCAATATCCTCCAATTAAATTACATGTTTGTGCAGAAAATCTAGGTATCAAATATTCTGGTTTATTTTGAAGATAAAACGTTTTCACACAACCAATTGTTTATACATTATGTTGGCTACATGTTCTGAGTTGCTTAGATATCTTAAAGATATGAGCTTTTTTTTCTTTAGATTGGACACTAGTTGGTAACTAGCGTAATTTGTGTCTGGTCCTTTGTTTTGTGCAGACTGAATTCTATCAGTCAAGTATGCAGTGTGGCCACTATGCTAGGTGGCTTGCCATTAAGGTGCACTGTGAATTGGATAATACCAACAATTCACAGTGCACCTTAATGGCAAGCCACCTAGCATGGTGGCCACACTGCATACTTGACTGATAGAATTCAGTCTGCACAAAAGAAAGGACCAGACACAATTTACGCTAGTTACCGACTAGTGTCCAATTAAACAAAAAAATATCCAGTACAGTCCTACAGGAGGTCAATCGCGAGCCCCAATATCTCAGCGGTAACTTCTTTGACTACAGAGCCAGGTGACGCAGGCTAGAATCTCAGAAAGGACATAAGTTCTGTCAAGGTTGCAGATAAGCCTTGCTGACTGGCGAGT